AGAATTGTATTTTACACCCGGAGGGCTTTCAACTATTTTTCTAAATACTCTCCATTGGGGAAAAATTTTCGGTGTTTTTAAAACAAGAATGTCAATAAAACGTTAGAATAAAAAGTGTATATAAATGCCAATAATAAATTTAAAAGTGTCACTTTAATTTTTAAAGACCAGAAAATGAAACACTTTTATTATAGAAATTTTTTTCTATTTCAAAAATACACTACTTTTTAATAAATTTAAAAAAGCAATAAACAAATAATAATCAAATTTTAATAAATAAAAAAAGCAATAAACAAAAAAAAGCAATAAACAAAAAAAATATAAATAAAAAAATCAGATTTCGTACTCGATAATTAATTTTAAAAGAGTAGCAAAAAATTATTCAATTTTTTCAAGATATTTAATTAAAGATGTATTGAAAATAACTATTAAATTCTAATAATCAACTGATATCAATTTTTTTTTTTAAATTCGGAAAATTGTTTTTTAAAATAATCAAATTCCTGTGAAAGTTTTATTATTTATGAAAATATCTGATTGCTTGCATAGAACTTTATAATCTTTTTTTGATAATTAAATCCTCTCGTAGAATTGTAATAAAATTTTTTTAAAAAATTGAATTTTTCGATTAATTAATTTAAAATTGTATTAAAAATAATAATTGAAGTCTTACTATGAGTTTTATTATTTATAAAAGTAATTTAATTCTTACAATGAATTTTTAATATTTTTATTAAACTAAAAATTTCAATATCTGAGAAGAATTTTATTATTTATAAAGATAATTGATTTTCGAACATTTTTTTTCAAAAATAATGGAGTCGTTTGAAAGATTTTTATTAAACTTATAAATAAAAAACTATACGATTTAATATAAAAAAAAAAAATTTTTCATTTTGATTTTGTAAATAAATATATAAATAAATATTTAAACAATATCAATGTGCAAGAATTTTTTTTCTTTTCTATTTAAAAATAACCAATTTCCAATAAACAAAAAAATTATTGCTGTTGTCAATTATTTATTGTTTAATATTTAATATTGTTATTTTATTGTTTAATTATTATTTTATCGATTCCATATTAAATATTTGTCCTAAAATACTTTTCATTGGGAAAATGGTGAGTATATTATTTTTTTGTAAATAAATAAATAAATAAAAAACATCAAAGCCCAAGAGTTTCTCTTTTTTTCTCTCTCACAAGTCAATAAACACCCGAAAAAAGAGAAGATACTGTTGACCTACTACAATCCTTTTTTCTTTTTACACATTATAATGATACTCTTTTTCTTTCCTTTATTTTACATTTTCACTCTGATATTTTCTTTCTCTCTTTCTCTCAAAAACCTTTGTAAATACGAGAGGGTTTCGGCCAAAAAAAAAGAAAAAGAAAGAAAAGAAAAGGTATAATAAAAATCATTAAATGACGGCCACCAGCGATGCGCAAAGAGGTAGAAAACAACTTTACGACACACACACGGTAGCATCCTATGCACTTTGCGTTGCCTACTGTATTAATGCTCATCCCCCCTCGACCCCCCTTTTTTCTCTCTTTGCCAGCAACGAAATGTTTTCTATACACACGGCATTTTGCCCTTCATCTCTCTTTAACGATATCGCACCTGTAAATTGCTTTTCCTTAAAAGCGATACCGACGCCGGGTCATCCTTAAAAACTCTCGAAAATTCCATGTAACATAAAATATAAATAGTTACTTTTACCACAAAAGAGAGGAAGAAAGAAAAAAAAATAAATAAATAAAATAAGCCGCCTATGTATGTGGAACAAATTTTTAAATTTTAATCTAGTACACATTTTTTTCTTGAGTCATTTTCAATGTAAATAAAGTAACATTCGTGTATATAGGTTGGTCCCTCAAGACAAGAAAATTCCATTCCTTTTATTGTTTTCGTAACTTTTTATTTTTATTAACTTTTGTTTTTTTTTTTTGTTCTTCTATTATTTCCCACCAGTAAAATTTCGAAAACAAAAATTTATATCTTGTTTGCTTTAACTAACTACATTTACATATTTTAATTACGTCCATCTATATATGAAATAAATTTAAATATTTCTTGAATATTTTCCATTTTTTTCAATATTAAATTAATTAAAAACATTGAAAAATTACATTTGAAAAAAAATACATAAAGAATATTAAAACTCTCTTTAATAATTTAATATCTTTTTCGATAATTGAATATTATTAATATAGTTTAATAATTCAATATTTTATTTAATTATTTAATATTAATATATTATTTAATATCTTTATCTAAATTTAATTTTTTTATAATTTTACCTTTTTAATAGTTTCTATTCTGTATTTGTAAATAAACAATTTTTTACATTATTTTTTTCGGTCCTTTTTTTCTTTTATTTTTATATGGGCTTTTTTGTATACAGAACGTAAGGATTACCTATAATTAAAAAAAAATTATAGTTTCATAGGTCACATGAAAATAGAAAAATAAAAAAAACCGAGAGACAATCTGATAAAAATACGTACACTTGTGTTATAGGAAAAAAAACCTTTTAGCATCGCTTCCGCTTTTCAATTATTAAAAATACCAAAAGATATTGGGAACTCGAGATGGTGATACTCGATAAAATACTCAAAAATAATTAACAAACCTAATTAGATTTTCTACCGCTAAATATATATTTCACCTCAAGTCATAAATGACACTTTTTTTCTTTTCGAAAAATAATAATGAAACAATACAGAAACACTTTGGAAATAAAATTTTCTTAATAAAATTAATTTCCTGCGGAAATGGTTAATTTGAAAAAATACATTTCAAAGATGATTCTGCAAACTTTTTAAACTCGAATTTTTAAAAATTGGAAATTTTTAATTATTTACTCTCCACAATAGTGAGAGGAAAATTTTATTCGAATAGATTACTTGTCTATTATCAAATAAATATTTATTTGAATCAAATAATTTTTATTTATTTTCATTCAAATTAAAATAAATTCTAATCAAACAAAAAATGTCAATATTTGAAGCAAATACGGTTAATTTAATTAATTTTATTAATTACAAATTAATTTTATCAATTTGAAATTTAATTAAAAATTAATTTTGGCAATTTAAAATTTTTAATTAAAAATTTATTTTATTAATTTGAAATTTAATTAAAAATTAATTTTGGCAATTTGAAATTTAATTAAAAATTTATTTTATTAATTTGAAATTTAAAGAAAAATTTTATTAATTTGAAATTAAATTTAAAATCCTCTTCACTTGAAAATATTAATGTTTTTCTAAATTTTGGCTCCCTGAGCCGAAATGGCCGAATACTGGAGAGGGGGAAACAGGAGCGTACATAGAAAAAGGGGCTCCCCTTTTAAAATAATAAAAAAAAATAAAACAAATGTTTACTTGAATCAAATGATTTTTATTCATTTTTTTTAAATTAAATAAATTCTAATAAAAAAAATGTTAATGTTTTAAGCAAATACGGTTTAATTTAAAAATTATTTGACATAAATAAAAATTATTTGATATAATAAAAATTATTTAATACAAATAAATATTTATTCGACAATACTAAACATTACTTTGAGACAAGTAATCATTTGTTTGAATCAAATAAATTTTCCTTATTTGATTCAAATATTATCAAATTATATTAAAATATAATTCATTTTACCATTACATTTATATTTATAGTTACTATACAAAATAATCTTATAGATTTTCTCAATTCTGGATGCAGGACTTAATTTACAATTTTCGCGCATTATTTTTAGAATCCTTGGTCTAGTTGGTGTAAAAGTTATTGAGCGGATTGAATATTTAAACAGCGGATTCTGCACGTCAAAGTCGAGTTTCTTTTTTCTTGACCGCATATAGGTACACACACATATATATAGAGCTACGTGTGTATTAAAATAAAATTCCTTCAAAATAACCATAGAAATTCCCAACAAATATTAAATCCATCGATTTAATATTTCATTTCATAAAGAATTGAAAATTGTCGATTTCTTTAAATTGTAAATTTTGATTTCTCGACTATAATTTAAAAAGCAATTTTCTTTCTCCGCAAAAACTTGGAAGATTTTAATTTCAAATTAATTTTATTTTTTTAAATCAAATTAAATAATTTTACTAACTTGAAATTGAATTTAAAATTAGTTTAAATAATTTAATTTATTTGAAATTGAATTTAAAATTAATTTAATTGATTAGAAATTAAATTTAAAATCCTCTTCACTTCGAAATATTAATGATTTTCTAAATTTCGGCTCCTTGGGCCGAAATGGCCGAATACTGGGGAGGGGGGAAACAGGAGCGTACAAAGAAAAGGAGACTCTCCTTAAGAATCACTTTAGAAAATAAAATTATTAGTTAACTATGAATTAAATAAAATTCTTAATGGCTGAATACTGGGGAGGGGGAAACAGAAGCGTACAAAGAAAAGGGGGCTTCCTTTACGAATCACTTTACAAAATAAAATTATTAGTTACCTATTAATTAAATAAAATTCTGAAATGTAATTAAAACACCAATAAAAATTGCAAACATTATTTATCCATTGATTTAATATTTTATTTCATAAAGAATTGAAAATTGTCTTGTCGATTTCTTTACTGTAAATTTTAATTGTTCGGGTATAATTTAAAAAACAGTTTCTTTCTTCGAAAATCTAGGGAGATTTCAATTTCTAATTAATCAATTAAAATTAATTTCTTTAAATCAATTTAATTAATTTTATTAATTTGAAAATGAATGAATATTCGTCCGAAATGGACGAATACTAGGGAGGGGGAAACAGGAGCGTACAAAGAAAAAGGGGTTCCCCTTAAGCTACTTTACAAAATTAAATTATTAGGCACATATTAAGTAGATAAAATTGTGAAATGTAATTAAAATTACCAAAAATAATTAAAATTCCAAAAAGTAATGAAAAATTACCAAAAAATTTTTTAATAAACCAAAAAAAAATTTTTTTTTCTAAATTGAAAATTTGTTTTCTCGCTTTTAAGGTGGAGTTCACATGTCAGCGTCGCGGGGTTCACCGCCTGGCGGCTCATCAGTGGGAAGCGGTCAGGGTTTGGGCTCGGGTCTAAATTGTGGTCAAGGCTCACCGGGCGCGACTTCCGGCAGTGGCGGTGGTGCCGGAAGTGCCGTTTCATGCGTGGTTACTGAGGGAAATGGAGCCGAAGCAACAGTTTGGAGAGAAGCTCACAGTATCGCGTCACTTAGACGTCGTGCTTCCGACGCTTCTCAACAATATAGTCCACAACCACCGCCACCAGGTCCACCTCAATATGCTCACGATTTGGAATACAGTTCGGTCTACTGAGGTAAAAAATATTCATTTCCAAATTAATTTGGAACTTTTATTCAAAATTCTCCCCGACAAAAAAAAAAAAAAGAAATCTACTAATATAATCAATATTTACGTCGCAAGAAAAAAAAAAGAATTAAAACATCAAACTTTGTAAGAAAAAAAAACATTTTCCTAAAATTGTGAACTTTTAAATGAACGATATTTTTGCAAAGATTTTAAAAACGAAATGAAAAATACTGTACATTAAACTTTTTTTTATTTCGTTAAGAATTCTTTTTTTCAAATAAAATCCAAAGTCATTCGTTTGAACATTTAGAATTTTAGGAAATTAAATGGAAATTTTTTTAATACGCTGGAACCTCTGAAAATATTTTGCTTATTATCGAAGATCATTCGTTATTAAAAATTCGATTTTCTTAAAATACAATTCATTATTATAATGAATTATAAAATTAATTATAATAATTAACACATTTTCAGTTATTTTATTATTAGAATTTTTAATTTCGAATTTTTCTACATTCAAAAATATTGTGTACCAAATTTTGGCTCACTGGGTCAAATAGTTACGGTTCTAGAGAAGGGGAAGAGTAAACAGGGACGTACGAAGAAATATTCTTTAAAAAATTATGTTTACGCTATTTTTTCGATTTAGTTTCATTTATGAAATTTGAATTAATTTTTAATTTAAATTTTAATATATTAAGGGAATAATCGAAAAAAGGCAAAAAAAAAAATTATAAAGAGGTTCCATTGTTTTAAACGCAATTATAATTCGGATAGTTAAAAATTTTACAGTTAATTTGAATCAGTGAACAAACCATTTTTGGCCATTAGCAAATATTTCAAAAATTAATAATTCGAAATTAAATTAAATTGGAGTAATTTTATTCATAATTCATTTTCCATAAAATGTCCTGAAATATTCCTCACATTTTCCGGAAATTCTTTCAAATATGGAAAAATTGAAATAAATTTTTATTTATTAATTAAAATAAATAAAGAAATCCAATCAAAATTAAAAATTAAAAAACAAAATTTTATTCTTAAATAAATATTTTATTTTAAAATACCTAAATTTAAAAACTAAAAAATTATTGAATAAAAAATTTGAATTCTTAGAAAAAAAATTCAATCACTGCTTCAAAATGGAAAATTTTAACTCTATTCGAAATTGTAAGTAATGAATTTATTATTTTCTATTATTTCTTCATTACTTACAATACTTATAAAAACGAATTCCTTCTTATAAAAAAAAATTATAAAAATTATAAAGTAAAACAATTCTAATAAAAAAGTAACAAAAGTAAAAAATGAACTACGAATTATTTCTCGGACGATAATAAAAAGGAAATGACGTTATTTTATCTACTTTTCTTTAAATAAAAGCAAAAGGGTTGTGCAATTAAAATCAATTAATTTGTTCCTTATTTATTAATTGGATTTAACCAATAAAATACGTGTTCCATGATAAATAATAATAAAATTATCAACGAGCCGAAAAATCGTCTTGAGAGACGTAAATGAAAAATAAAAGTATACGACAGTTACCTTAAGTACTACACGTGGCATTGTAAATATAGTCTAAAGTAGGCGTAAATTCATAATAATTATTGTATTATCGAATTGAGAAAAAAAAACAGATTCGATTGTATTTTTAATTATATAGTTGATTGAATTTAATATCCATAAGAGTCAGAAAAAAAACAGTTTGTAGTAATTGCACTGTTTATAAATTTTTGACTGAATGAAATATCCTCAGAATATGAAAATTTTTTTTTTTTTTTGGTAAAGAAAGGATATTTTATCTTCTGGTCTATTATAAAGGGAAAAACATCTTTGATACACAAATCTGTAACCACGATTGAGAAAAAAAATATTTACGATAGTAGTTCAGATTACTAAACAATCGTGGTTACAAGTGTATATTTTTTCCTCAATTTTATAGCTTTATTTTTTCTTTTTTTTTATTTCTCTCCCTAGTTTTTAATTTCTAATAAACCCTTAGAATATGTTAGAAAAATGTTGAATAATTTTTGAAATTAGTTAAAAATTTTTAAATAAATATTAAATTTAAAAATTTCGTTTCAAAAATCAATTGTGTTCTTGGTAACTTTTTTTGATTTTCGAAACTATTTATTTTTTTCGATAAGGTGACATTTTTTTTTTTTTTGAGCCGATATTCAAATTACAACAAACATTTCAAAAAATTGTTACATTTTACAAAAATTTAATACTTTATTTAACTTTTCTTAATATTTAAAAATAAGTTTATTTAATTTTTTTAATTTATGAAATATGATTTTTTACACTCATAAAAAAATGTAAGTTTCTATTGTTATTTTTCACATAAAAAATAGTTTACGCTTGTTATTTTGTACGAAACGTTTAAAGTGTAATTTGTAAAAAATTTTAAAGTTTTTAATCTTCTAAAGAAAAATTAAATGCTAAAATATTATTTAATTTGAATTTAAATAAAACTTTGTTAAATTAAAAAAAACGTTAAGATTTCTTTTTTGTAAAATGCAACTTTTTTATGAAAACTTTGATATAGTTTTGATATCGACTCTTTGTCGAAACAAATTTTTTTTTCAAAAATAAACCCTAGCCTGTACTGAAAATGATTTGGTATAAAAAAAACACCAAATCAGACGTCTGGTAAAAACTACAAGACACAAAATTTCCGTAAAGTAAATTTCCGCAGTGGGGAAAATTCCTAGGCTAAGGCTTGATAAAAAAAAACAGTTTTACATTAAATAAAAAATAAAATTTCCCACACAACGAACTTTTATTTATACAAAAAAAAAACATTATCATTTTAACTCCGCGTAAAACAACCGATAATATATAATGTAAGTAATAAAATTGTTCCGTTATTGTCAATGAATTATTATATATAATGAAATTTTGTAAATAAAGTATACGTCAAATAGTTGTGTAATAAGTATTCTAATTACTGAATATACTGATGTAATATTAATAATAATAATATTTATAATACAATATATCAATAACGCAAATTTTGTTTGCAACCTAAAAAAAAAATACACGAGTATACTTATGGACATTGTGATATTTTTGGGAAACGAGCTGTGTTGTCTCTTTCTGCATCTTTTATCAGCGCGCATATCCCCATACGATATATTGCAAAAAAAAAAAAAAAATTAAAAGTGAAATGGCATATATATTATAATAATAGAATAATAAAAAAAAATAAAAAAAAAATCGTGAGAGAAAGAGAAAGAGTGGAGGATGAGAAAAAACAAATGCGCTATAATATAACTGTCGACGAATCTCAAGTGACGACAAAAAGTCGATTTTATTATATATATAAATAAATAGGTACGAATTTTATCGTATTAAAAAAAAAGTAAACTAATACAATAAGTAAACGATACCACATGATTTAGCTCTAGGCCAATATCAATGTACCATTACAAAACGTATACGATTTATAATGTACAAAAAAAAAATGCAAAAAAAAATTAAAAAAAAATTTAGGTGCCGGACGAATTTTTGTGTTTATTAAAAAACATTCCATTTTTTTTCTCGACTACAAAAAGAAAATTGATCAATATTTTACACTTGATTACAGAAAAATGAAAATGTCATACTTCAAAATATGCATAAGTGTACTTTAGAATTTGTATTATCAATAGGTCCAGTGCTACTGATTTGTTACTAATTTTGCAAAAAAATAATAATAAAAATAATAAAAATAAAAAAAAATAATAATAAAAATAATAAAAAAGTAATAATAATAAAAATAAATATAGCAATTTAATAATAACAATTATACCAATAATAACAACAAAGTATGAATAATATAATTTGTAATTAATTGTTATTTTAATTAATTGTTAATTTGACTATTTGACTAATAATTATTAGTCGACCTAATAGTCGATTAATAGAAATTATCTATTAATTAGTTAATTAATGATTAATAGAATAAAAATAAAATAACTAATAATTTGTTAATTGTTAATTATTATTGTTACTATTTAGTAATAGCAATATTAAATAAAGAACTGATAGTAGGAAATTCATTTTTTATTAATATTAGTAGTATTTTTATTATTTTTATTATAATTTCATCACTAAGGTCGATAACTTCTTTGTAATGTAATTATAAATATTATTGTAATTATAATTTTTATTTTTATTATTTTATTATTATGTTTAAAAAAAATTACAATATTAAATAAATTATTAAGTAACTAATAATTTATATTAATAAAATTATTGGCGGTAATTTTATTAAGGGTGTGCGATTAATTACGACATTGACAATAATTTTAAGAACTTTCATTTTTAATAAAAAAAATTAATACTACTTTTGAAAGAAAAACTTACAGATCTGAATCCCTCCTTGATGTTCATTACAAATCTGAAACAATTGAAAAAAATTATATTAAAAAATTTTCAAAAAAAATAACAATAAATAGATTTATTTTTAATTGTAAATAAACTCGCGTAAACGTTTTTAATATTTTTTTTCTAATTTATTATTTTATTAGTATATTTATTTACTCTAAATAAATTTGATTTTTAGTAATTACTTTTAGTAAATTTTTAAATGTACTTAAAAACAAAAAAATATGCAAATTGCTTGTGTTTGATATTTACCATGAAACTGAAAAAACTCATAGAAAAAAATACAGAAAGCGAGCACTAATAAAAAAAAATTTAAACACTTGCGAAATTAACAAAAAAAAAATTAAATTTACTTTCCCGAATATTTAATCACAAAAAGCAGAGAACACTTTTATTTATTTAAAAACTTTCCGAACAATATTCACAATATTAATATTTTATTTATTATTTATTTTTTAACTTTTCAAAAATTAAAATTCGAAAAAATTGTGGAATATGTTATTTTTATTAAAACTTTTCATTAAACGCGCACTCCCGAAATAATATTCATTATTCAAAAATTATTTATTCACTTAAAATATTTTTGTAAAAAAATTATTTATTTTATTTTTTCACTTTTAATTATTTTTTAAAATTAGTTTAATTCTCACTATAGAAACTTTTTTTTATTTCTAACTAGCAAAAAAAAAAAAAAAATTCTAACAATTACTTGCTGGTTCGATGGACAAATTTCAACTGAGATTATTATAAATTGAAAAGAGAGGGAAGGGAAATACTTTTGTTCGACAAGTTCGAACTTGCATAAATCAAATTGACCGCACATTATTTTCAATTTGTAAACAAACTGTAAGTGATGGAAACTTTGTAATAATGTAAATTTGACCTTTGTCCTTCAGTATTGAGAAAACAATACAATTTATTTATTCCTTTCACCAAAAAACTTTTTTAATAAATAAAATTTTCAATT